GAATCTAGAGGAACTCTGCACCTCTCATTTTTTTGGCCCGGTTTTGGAATTCTTTTATTTTCATCCTACTTCTTCTTCTTCTTCTTCATCATCATCCTCAGAAAGAAGAGAAGAAGAGATGAGGATGAAGAAGAAGAAGAAAGTAGGATGAAAATAAGAAGAATTCCAAGCCGGCAAAAAGTGTATCTGCAGAGCTCCTCTATTCTGCAGATACACTTAGAGGAGCCTCTGCAGAATACACTTAGAGGAGCTCTGCAGATACAACCTTTTTGCCAGCTTGCCCCCCGAATTTAATTCTTATTTTCATCCTACTTCTTCTTCTTCTTCTTCTTCTTCATCTCATCCTCAGAAGAAGAAGAAGAGGATGAGGATGAAGAAGAAGCAGAAGAAGTAGGATGAAAATAAGAATAATTTCAAGCCGGCAAAAAGTGTATCTGCAGTGCCCTCTATTCTGCAGATACACTTAGAGGAGCTTCTGCAGATACACTTAGAGGAGCTCTGCAGATTACACTTTTTGCCGGCTTGGAATTTAATCTTATTTTCATCCTACTTCTTCTTCTTCTTCTTCTTTTTCTTCATCCTCATCCTCAGATGAAGAAGAAGAGGATGAGGATGAAGAAGAAGAAGAAGTAGGATGAAAATAAGAAGAATTCCAAGCGGCAAAAAAGTGTATCTGCAGAGCTCCTCTATTCTGCAGATACACTTTGAGGAGCTCTGCAGATACTCTTAGAGGAGCTCTGCAGATTTTTTTTCTTTTCTTTTTTTCCTTTTTGCCGGCTTGGAATTAATCTTTTTTTTATTTTCATCCTACTTCTTCTTCTTCTTCTTCATCCTCATCCTCATCCTCAGAAGAAGAAGAAAGAGGATGAGGATGATGAAGAAGAAGAGAAGATGAACTGTAGGATTGAAAAATAAGAATAATTCCAAGCCGGCAAACCATTGTATCTGCTTGAACTCTCTATTTTTTCTGCAGATACACTTAGAGGAGCTCTGCAGATACACTTTTTGCCAGCTTGGACATTAATCTTATTTTCATCCCTACTTCTTTCTTCTTCTCTTTATCCTCATCCTCAGAAGAAGAAGAAGAGGATGAGGATGAAGAAGAAGAAGTAGGATGAAAATAAGGAATAATTCCAAGCTCGGCCTTTTTTTTCTCTTTTTCCTCTTTCTCTTAAGTGTATCTGCAGAGCTCCTCTATTTGCAGATACACTTAGAGGAGCTCTGCAGATACACTTAGAGGAGCTCTGCAGAAACACTTTTTGCCGGTTGGAATTAATCTTATTCTTCCTTTCATTCCTTCTTCATCCTCATCCTCAGAGAGAAGAAGAAGAGGATGGGGATGAAGAAGAAGAAGAAGAAGAAGAAGTAGGATGAAAATAAGAATAATTCCTTCCCGGCAGCCGGCAAAAAAGTGTATCTGCAGAGCTCCCTAAGTGTATTCTGCAGAGCTCCGCTATTTCTGACAGTTCTTCCTTGTCATTCACTCATTTCAGCCGGTTCTCCCCTACATTGTATTTATTTGTTTCCATAAATGGATCAAGATTTATGGAAACCAAATAGATACGAATGTTTTTCATCCGCGAGGTTTCCTTGGAGTTTTTTCTTGTCCAGAACTGTTATTTCCTTCTCAGCCTATTTTTCCCCAGTTCTGTGCTCCCTTCTTTCTCATCCCCCCCTCTCACCCTCCTTCACCCCCTCACCCCCTTCCCCCCCCCCCCCATTATCATTCCCCTTCTCCTTCTCTCTATCCTTCTCCTTCTCTTCTTATCATCTTCTCCTTCTCCAGTTATCTTTCATCCTTCTCCTTCTCCTTCTTCTCATCCTTCTCCTTTCTTTCTATCCTTCCTCCTTCTTCTCATCCTTCTCCTTCTTCTCATCCTTCCTCCTTCTCCTTCCTCATCTCCAAGGGCATTTAATTAAAGGTACAGTGTTCTGCCACTAATTTAAGGCTCTCTGAAGCCTAGAAAACCCTTTTTATAAGTTAACTCTCGTAGCGAATTAATTCGCATCGAATCGAATTTCTTCCTGAAATTCGGCGAATCAGCCGAATAGAATTTTTGAGGTATAATTCGCTCATCTCTAATGGTTTACATTGTAAAGAACCTCCATGAACTCGTGACCAGAAACAGGTCATTTGCAGTATGGACTCATAATGGGTTTCCCTGTAGTTTTTATTGAGTTTATTTACAGATTGACGGATTGGTGGATGGGTGTCGATTCGGATGAGAGTTCTATAAATGATTTTAATCTTGCGTGTTGTTCTTGTTTTGTAACATGCTCCTTAGGAAGTATGTTGTCACTCAATAAAGTGTATAGATATTTATTAAAAGGATACAGGCGTACCTAGGTTTTTACGAACACTCGGTTAACTAAATTTTCGGTTTTACGAAGGAAAACCACTAAAAATAATGCCTCGGTGTATGAATTTGTTTCGCAATACGAATGGATTAATTGGTTTTCAGAATTTTTTTTTATCATGTCCCTGTATGAATACTATGCCTTTAAGTGCACTTATAAGAGAGTTTGAACCAGTTACAGGAGCCATAAGAAGGGCCGTTTATCGTCCGAATTGTCGGCCGATAAACGAAAAATCGGTCGAATTGTCGGCCGATAAACGAAAAAATCGGTCGTAGCTGTTGTCGATGCTGCTGTTTTTCGTGGATTTTCCAGCATGACCGATAAAAATAAACGAAAAGATCCACGAAAAACGGCCGACGGGCTTACCCCACTAACAGCAGTGAATATCGGCTGATTTTTCGTGCATACAAAAATTAGGCCAATAAATGACCCGTCTATGGCTACATTAGACTTCTGACATTTTTCTGACCTCCGGAACAGATTAATTGGTTTTCAATGCATTTACTAATTCATTTTTAATCATGTCCCTGTACAGTATTTATGCCTTTAAAATGCACTTTATAAAGAGTTTTGAACAGATAAAAGACTTTTTTTTTACTTTTTTCTGACTTCCGGAACGGATTTATTGGTTTTCAACGCATTCCTATGGGAAACTAATTTTTCGCAATACGAAATGTCCCGCAGACCGCATTAAATTTGTAAACCGAGGTATGCCTGTATATGGTCTCATCTTTAGTGGTAAAAATACTTTTTGAGGACAAAAATGTTTTTTTTTTGTTGTACTTTCTCTATTGACGAGCAAAGTTTTCTGAAGCATCCTTGCAACCATCACCCACCTGGGTGTGTTGGATGCCTAGGACCCCATCTCCAGGATGGTTTAAGATTACCATAGACAGGTCAAATTTTGGCTGATTACTGCTTAACCGCTTGCAGACCCAACGTAGTACAGTTATTGTGGTAGGCTGGATTGTATAGGCACAATCATGTACCTGTACGTCACAGCTTTCTTCTCGGTCTGCTCAACTCAGAAGATTGTGCTGTCATTTGTTGCAGTCAGCTGGTCCCGGCTGATGATTTATGGCTGATCAGCTCAGGGAATGACAGAAGAGAGTCCTGTGTTGGTAAACAACACAGGGCTCTCCTTAGACAGCAATGATCTGCCTTTTTTCTCCCTGCAAAGCAGGGAGTAAAAACCAACACATTACTTAGTAAAACAGCACATAGTACACACAGTAAACATTGTTAGACACACATACAACCCTTTGATCGCCCTAGATGTTAACCCCTTCCCAGCCAGTGTCATTAGTACAGTGACAGTGTATAGTATTTACATTGATCACTGTATTAGTCACTGGAGATGTCAGTGGCAGTTAATCAGTTCCCCCACCCCGCCGGAGTAGGTTACTGTCAGATTTCCCGCCCCACAATAAGAGTCCCACTTCGTCGTTGATCACTGCCATTACTAGTGTTAAAAAAAAAAAACATTCCAGTATTTTTAACATAGTTTATAGATGCAATTACTTTCACGCAAGACAACCAATATACACTTATTTAGATTTTTTATTTTTTTTACCAGACACGCAGCAGAATACATTTTTGGCCAAAATTTATGAAGAAATTTGTTTGTTATTTTATTTTTTTTGGATATTTTTCATAGTGGAAGATTTTTCCATTCAACTCCTCAACACATTTTAATTGAAAAATTGACTGTTGGCAAGGCGGGTGATGCCAACAGGTCTGAAAATTTGCCAACTGGCTCTCCAACAAATGTCAATTAAAAAATTGACTTTTGGAAAAGTAGGTGATGCCAACAGAGCTGCAAATTCTCCACCCGACTCCTCAACAAATGTCAATTGAAAGACCAACTTTTGGCCAGCCAGGTGTTAGCAGCCATCTGATTGGATGCAGGTGCTGTTTGGACAAGATTTTCCACCCACTTCCTCAACAAATTCCTCAACAAATAAAAAAAAAAACCTTTTGGCAAGGTGAGTGATGCCAACAGGGCTGAAAATATTCCAAATTGCTCTCCAACAAACATCAATTGAAAAATTGCCTTTCGGCAAGCCAGGTGATGCCAACAGAGCTGAGAATTTTCCACCCTATCCCTCAACACAATTCAATAGAAAAACCGGCTTTTGGCAAGCCGGGTTGGTGCCAACAGGAAAGAATTTCAACCATTTCAGCAGAAATCAAACAAAAATTTGATCTGTGTTTGGCCAACTTTAGAGCTGCCTGGGTGTGTTCATAGCTGATGTAACTTCAATTAAGAGACACTGGTTGTCATCTTTGTGCTTCCACGTGGTTCCTGGGGAAAGGGGACATCGATTACCCCAATTGTGCAAGGGGAACAAAGATACAGCCCACCCATTTGGCTAAGCCTGGTCCAGGGGCGGACTGACAACTCATGGGGCTCCCGGGCAATAGAGGATCATGGGGCCCCTGTGTCCTTGCCCAAACTCAAAAAAGCCTATGAAAAAGGTACCAGGGGCATCTCATGGGGCCCTCTACTGACCCCGGGCCTTTGGGCAGTGCCCGAGTTTCCAAATGGTCAGTCCGCCCCTGGCCTGGTCCCTACTTTTGAAGAGGTGTCCTTTTCCCTAAGAGACCCAAGCAATAGTTCAGTATATCAGTACATAGCTCAGTGTGCAGCAGCCCATAGCAACCAATCAGAATACATCTTTCATTGCTCACGCTGACATTTAGTTGGTATGGGTTACTGTACATCATCACCACTTTCAACTTTCTTATTAAATAAGCCCGTGGAGCATAAAACACATTGTTTATGCGGAATGCTTCCTGCAGCATCGCCCTGAATATTACAGGAGCAGCAGAGCACGTCGCCCTTAACTCTTCCATGTCCAGGGATAGGAAAAGTGTTGTTTTCAGTGTGGGACTGTGCTTTGTAATCCTGTGGGTGGTTGTTGAAGCCAGGCATTGGGATGACTAGGGAGGGAGCCAGTCACTGATAAGAAGCCACACAGAAGGTATTGGCTGATAAGAAGGCCAGGGACAGCCTTCCTCTGCACCAGGGTGTAGATTTACGAGTCGCCGAGTCTCATGTAATTACATATTGGTGATTCCGAGTACAAGTCTGCTTCCAATAGATTACAGCATTAACCGCAGATCAGCCATCAATGCGAGCGGCAGAAGATTTTACCTAATTGTTTAGACTGGCGATGATTTGCGATGAGAAATTATACCATACAGCAGGGGTGGACTGACAACTCATGGGGCCCCCGGGCAATAGGGGATCATGGGGCCCCTGTGTCCTTGCCCAAACTCAAAAAAGCCTATGGAAAAGGTACCAGGGGCATCTCATGGGGCCCCCTACTGACCCCGGGCCCTTGGGCAGTGCCCGGGTTTCCAAATGGACAGTCCATCCCTGCCATACAGCCTAATCAGTACAACTGGAAAAACAAAAAGAAACCTGTACAAGGCTGTCACTGCATTGCAGTGGTCTGGCTGTCATGAGGATCCAGCAGCTTCAGTACTTTCTGAGACACTGACCCATAGGGGTTTATTTACTAAACCTGGTTGACTCAGAATCTTGGGCACCTGTGCATGGTAGCCAATCAGCTTCTAACCTCAGCATGTTCAGTTAAGCTTCAGCAATAAAACCTGGAAGCTGATTGGTTTTTATGCAGAAGTGGACAAGATTGAGTCAACCAGGTTTAGTAAATAAACCCCATATTGTCACCCATAGACCCTGTCTATGTTGCAAGTGGCAACATAGGCAGGAACTGACACTTACAGGAGGTGGTCAGATTTCTAATAAAGTTTTAGTCCTCTGGACATTTTTACAGCGGCTGTTTTTGGCTTTTGACGGTTTTTTTCTACAGCTAATAAACCCCCCAACATGTTATCCTATGTGTCCATGCACACATAGACTGGAATCAATGTTTTTTTGGCTGGGATATTTTTTGGCTGGAAAAAAACCCCCAGGACTTGTGGGTTCTGTTTTGGCAACTTTGCTTCCTCACTTATTCCCTTGGTTCTATTTATTTATATCAGGTACTTATATAGCGCTGTCAATTTATGCAGTGCTTTACAAATATATTGTACATTCACATCAGTCCTTAACCCTCAAGGGGCATACAGTCTAAGGTCCCTAACTCACATTCATACATACACATACTAGGGACAATTTAGACAGGAGCCAATTAACCTACCAGCATGTCTTTGGAGTGTGGGTTCTATCTAAGATTATAAATGTAATAAGTGATTAACACCTTTTGTCCACATCAGAATCAGGCCTTGTTGCCTCTCTCTCAGTTATAGATTTTTAATAACCAATAACCACTGTGCTGAATAAAAGTAATAAAAAGAAAATAAAAATCTAATTTATTTACACAGAAGAAACGTAGTTATTAATCTAATCAAATATACTGGAATACAAAAGATATAATACTACAAAAAAATTGATGTTACAGTATAAAATACAGTATATTACCAGTATAGAGAGATGACTATAGGAAAGAAAGTTACAGGAAAGAAACAGAGCTATTGTGATACTTTACACAGACATCCTGATGTCCTGATGCCTGGGCTCTGAAAGGGCCAAAGAGACAGAATGGCATACCGTTATACCCCCTCCTCCTACATTCCAAGTAAAGGCACACCTTCAATAAGTTCCAATATTTTACCATTTCTTGTTCAAAGGGTGCTCTGTGAGTTGTGAGAGATATTGGCCAACTGTATAGGCCAATGTCCAGGAAGCATACCTCCTTTTAGGCCAGTTCCCGCAGGAAGATCTATGACAATGCTCCCTAGAAGGTGTTAGAAATGACTACTCCATGGCTTATTCAGCCAGGTGGCCATACAGTCATAAACCTTTACAGGAAACCTTCTAAATCAGGCCATAGACGGGGCAAAAAACCGGCCGTTTTTTTTTAAAAAACCAAAAAATCGGTCGTTCAATCTGCCGATGTTACCACCATTGGTAAAAAAAAATCGGCTGATTTTTCGTCCCGTCTATGGCCGGCAAATATAATAGCAGTGTCCCTGCAGAGAGCTCCGCTATTATATTTGACATTTAAAAGTATAGCAAAGTTGCAACATTGTATCTATTTGTATCCATTTCAGATACAGATGTTTCTATTCGGATACAAATAGATACAATGTTGCAACCGCAATACTTTTAAATGTCAAATATAATAGCGGAGCTCTCTGCAGGGACACTCCGCTATTATTTTTGACATTTAAAAGTATTGCGGTTGTATCTATTTGTATCGGAATAGAAACATCTGTATCTGAAATGGATACAAATAGATACAGATGTTCTTCTTTTTCTTTGTCTTCATCTTCTTCTTCTTTTCCTTCTTCTTGCAGGTTATGGCTCATGCGCATTTTTTTAATCGGTAAAAAGATCGGCCGATTTGCCCATCATTGCCGTGAAAATCGGCCGATCAACAAAATGGGCCATTTTTTTTCCAACATAACAAAATGTGTCAAAATCACGAAAAACGCCGACAAATTCACCCACTAACGATCCAAAAATCGGCCGATTATTCTTTCAAACGAAGTTTCGGCCAATTTTCAACCCATCTATGGCCTGCATAAGAGTGGGTGTTGAGGTGATGCAGCAGATGCTAAATAAGTTACAGGAATTGAGACCCCTATCAGAAGTTCACAATAATGTTAAAAATTATTGTAGGCCCAAAATAGCTATCACAGTTTCTAGAGGAATTTTTTAGTTGTAAAAATGCGAATGCTGAAAAAAACGCGGTAAAAACGTGGTAAAAACACCGCAAACCAGCGTTTTTTGGACTTTTTTGGATGCAAAAAAGAATTTTTTTGGTAAAAAAAAACACAAATGTGGAAAAAAACACAATAGTCATGGCAAAACGCCGCTACACGCTAATGCAAAAATGCTAAAAAAAGCTGACAAACTCACATTACTAACGTGAGTTTACACAGCTAACGTTACCAGCGCTATCAAAACGTCCCGTGTGCATGAGGGCTAAAGGGTCATAACATGGGAAAAAAAAATTTTTTTTAAAAATGGAGAAACATGCAAGTGCGTTATTCTCTACTGCTGAAAGGTTTCCATTTAAAGCTGAATTCCGGGACAAGCAAATAAGTGCTTTCCGTGTATTGAATGTTGAATCTTGGTGTGTTTATGTATTTCTTTCAGATCTGTGCAGAATATTGCCTGTGTGCAAAAATTTCCTGTAATGAAGACCGGTCACTGCTGCTATCTCAACTTGTGCAGATTGCCTGGTCTAGTCTCCGCCTCCTCCTGTAGTTTTCTACAAGCAGCCTGTAGTGGGTGGTGCCTTCTGGACCCCTCCCACAGCTCTGCTCTCTGCACAGGTTTTGTGCAGTACTGTAATGATGTTACTGCATGTTTCGCAAAGTAATATCTAGAATTAAAAAGCCATTTGGTGCACTCAAAGTAAATCCATATCATTTGTGGCTATTGAGGAATATATTTAAATATTAAAAAGTTTCTGTGCCCGAACTTCTGCTTTAAGAAGCAAGGTTTGGTGACAGGGTGTCAGAATATCCCAGCAGTGACTGCACCTGCAGGGACCGTTTGGACAAGAATTTTCAGCTCAGCTTCTGAACAAACTTCAATTGAAAAACTGATTTTTGGAGAACGAGGTGGTGCCAACAGGGACACCTACGGAATGAATTTATGCAGGCATCAGCCAAAATTTGACCTGTGTATGTCCGACTTTAGAGCTGACTGGCTGTGTTCATAGCTTATAAAGCTGCAATTAAAGTGGTTCTCTCAATTAAGGTAAAAAAACCTTCTGCAAGCAGATCCCCTCCCCCCCCACCCTACTTACCTGACCCTGATCTTGATCCAGCGCTGTGCCTGAGAGCAACATCTCTCTCTGCTCTCTCCCTCCTCATAGGCTCAGAGGCAGCATGGGAGCCATTGGTTTCCACTGCTGCTAATGACAGCCAGTGAGGAGTGACAGGGGGCGGGGCCGAGCTGCGCTTTGTATGGATACACAGAGTACAGCTTGGGAACATGCCCACATAAGCGACCCCCAATAGCAAGCGGCTTAATATGGGTGCACTTAACAGGGGGAAGGAGCCAAGAGTGTTGTCTGGGGACCACACAAAAGGAGGTTCGGGCCAGGGGCAGACTGACCATTTGGAAACTCAGGCACTGCCTGAGGGCCCGGGGTCAGTAGGGGGCCCATGAGATGCCCCTGGTACCTTTTTCGTAGGCTTTTTTGAGTTTGGCAAGGACACAGGGACCCCATGATCCCCTATTGCCCGGGGGCCCCATGAGTTGTCAGTCCGCCCCTGTTCAGGGCTGCTCTGTGCAAATCCATTGCACAGAGCAGGTATGTATAACACATATGTTTGAAAAAAAAACTTTTACGTTTATAATCACTTTAAGAGACATTGGGTGACATCTCTGCGTTTTCATGTGTTTCCTGGGGAAAGGGGACACCAATTGCCCTAATCGTGCAGGCAGAACAAAGACAAAGCCAACCCATGTGCTTGAGTCTGCTCCTTATATTCAAAGAAGTAGTGGTGCACCGAAATGAAAATTCTGGACCGAAACTGAAAATTCAGGATGCATTTAAACAAAAAATGTAATCGAAATGAACAGTTTTTTTTTTTTAAATACGTTTTTTTTATATATATAATTGTATTATATTCGACTTTTTAATGAATATCATGAATTTATTTTCAGCACCCTTTCTGCCAAT